ATTTATGTAGATGGTTTAGTAAAAATTATTTATTCTTTAATAGTGCTAAAACAAACTATATAATGTTTCATACACCTCAAAGTCGGATATCATCCTCCCTAAATATAAAGTTTAATAATATTAGTATCGAGAAAAGTAATACTGTTTCGTTTTTAGGCATCATTTTAGATGAAACTTTGACATTTGGGAGTCACTGTAATAAACTTACCAATATATTAAATTCAAAGTGTTATCAAACTAGAATTTTGAAGGATGTTTTAGAAATACCTCAGTTAATTTCCTTTTATTTTGCACAAGTTCAATCAAGGTTAGCATATGGAATTATTATCTGGGGAAGTTCATGTAGGGCAGATAGCGTTTTCATTGCCCAGAAACGTATTGTCAGATGTATAGCTGGAGTACCTCCGAACCAGTCATGCCGCCCTTTATTCACTGAATTTGGTATTCTCCCGTTGAAAAGTTTGTATATCTTCGAAATATTGTTATATATTTATAAAAATAAAGAACGTTTTACTACAAATGTATCTGTCCACTGTCATGATACTCGTAACAAACATAATTTTTGTGTCCCGTTCAAACGCCTCGGCATGACTTTAAAAGCTCACAATGTTTTGGGACTAAGGTTATTTAACCATTTACCTCAACATTTGAAAAACATAAATAACTTTCATCTATTTAGAAAAAATGTTAAAATATATTTATTAAAAATTTGTGCATACTCCGTTCAGGAATTTTTTGACAATAGCTGTTAGCTTATTTTAATTTTAATCTGTTGTAGGTTGTATATTATCATATGTTTATATTGTATTTATTATTTTATTTATTTATTGTTTGTACTGTAATTAATGTGGATCGGGCTATATGCCTTTTTTTAACATGCAATTATATTGTATTATGTAGAGTTGACTTATCCCATAGCAAAGCTGTAATGCTCTAGTTGGACTAATAAATATATCTATCTATCTATCTATCTATCTATCTATCTATCTATCTATCTATCTATCTATCTATCTATCTATCTACTTGCTAACGATATGCCTAGAATTTTTCGATGATTTTATGTTATGAATTTGATTAAAGGTCTGTTTACACATATCAATGTCAGTTCAGTATTAGCGTCAGTAAAAACGAAAATATCGTTGCTTAGGGTTTAGTTTAGATAGAGATAGACTTGTTTGTACATATCCGACTTTTACTATCAGTGCAGCTCGAGAGTTCGATCCGTGATTTTACAATAGTCGGCCACAATATTTTTATAATTTCGTTGACGAACGCGACTCATTTTTTTTATTGTATGTTGCTTAGAATGTAAAAAAACTCACCAAGTCGATACAGAACTTTCCTGAACTATATGATTTGCCCCATAAAAAATATATGAGCACCGATTTTAAAATTAAAATTTAGAATAATCGACCACGGTCAACACTGATACTGCACTGTTTGTAAATAGACCTTAAAGTCACAACTGAACATCCGTCACTACCTCCAAGTTTATGCTGTAGCTCGCATTATAAATGCTCTTTTTTGTTTGGAATCCCTAATTTTCGTTTTATTTTAATGATTTTTATCCGAGTATCTGAAATAAATTTTAATTTTCAGAATAAACAGATACTATCCTAGAGGTTAAAGATACAGGATGCCGGACAAAAATGAGATGCTTAAAAAACAACCACAAATATTGGAATTTTAAAATATCTCATGTATTAAACATCGTTTTGTGTCTGGTTTAGATTTAACATCTTAAGTCAAATTGTCCTATTTGTAAATATAATCCTGTTGTTGTGGATATATTTAGTAGTTTCAGAAGAATTTCAAAAATGTATTATAAAAAACGAAGTATTTAAGGAAACGTTAAATAAATTAACTAAAATAAAACTAACTACGCTATTAATTTATTAATTATTAAAATATTCAGCAAATTTACAGTTTTTTATAATTCAGGATTGTTAGTTTTTCTGGATTTTAGATTAGAAGAAAACTAATTTATAGGTATAATCGTCGATGTCTGTTTTATTACTTTCTCAGAATTCTACTAGTACAAATTTTATTACAATTACAATAATTAAATTAGCTTAATTACATATTCATTGATTTTAGGAGTTAAAAATTCATAGAGCATCAAAGCTTAATTAACTCACAGTACAACATATTTGTTTTCTTTTTGTCAGTCTTAAATTAAAAATCATAAGAACTTTTTTACATACCAGGGAATGTTTGGAAACAATATTAACTAGATGAGACTGAAACCGTACAAATTATTTGCACATAGTCGGAAAGTTTCATAATTTGACAATATAAAAATGGAACTAAAAAAAATCAAAAAACGGACAGATTATATTAAAATATGAATACAATACAATTTCAATTAAATAGGCCCATTCAGTGATATTTAATTTTAAACTTTTTCTTTAATTTTCTGATAGTATTTACCTACCTAATTATATCTTAAAAAAATTAGGTCAATAGGATTAATAATAAGTGATATATTTAATTCTGAATTTGTAAGACCCTTAAAAAGGTCAACGCTGCGAGAGAACAGCTAATGACGTCAGAATACCGGCCACTCGGCGATCAAGTCGCGAGGAGACGGAGAGATGTGTAGATATTTGCTATATTTTTATTGATATTATATACCTATATTTTTAAGTGTATAAATAGAGAGTGTATAAGAGATATACATCAAGTCTTGTTGAAATGCATTTTTCACACAACATATTTATTATAAACATAGAATGTCTTGGAATATCTAAATACATTTTCGGATTTTTCTCAATGACGTAATTTTGCCTTCCATTTTGTGTACAAATGTACCCAACGTACTAGACTCGGTACTTGTGGATGTATGCGACGACGTGTATGTGCGAGCAACTCAGAACCACCCTCGTTTTTCTTTGATTGCCCGTCTATATTATTATTTAAATAAATTACTTATAGGTGCCTCTCGCAACGTATTTCGAAATTTTTGTGGACGGGAACGTTTAGATGGGGTAGAATTTATTTTTTCGACATAAATTTGAAAATTCTGCTCTAAATGTTTAAATAATAATATTTATAACCTCTTAGACGGGCAACCAAAGAAAAACGAGGGTGGTTCTGAGTTGCTTATAGGTCCCTCTCGCCGACGTATTTCGAAATTTTTGTGAACGGGTACGTTTAGATGGGGCAGAAATTTTTTCCAGCATAAATTTTATAATTCTGCTCTAAATGTTCAAATAATAATATTTAAAACCCTCTAGATGGAAAACCAAAGAAAAACTAGAGTGGTTCTTAACTGCTTATAGGTCCCTGTCGCCGTCGTATTTCGAATTTTTTGTGAACACGAACATTTAGATGGGGCAGAATTTATTTCCGGCATAAAGTTGAGAATTGTGCTCTAAATGTTCAAATAATAATATTTTACAACCCCCTAGACGTGCATCCAAAGAAAAACGAAGGTGGTTTTGAGTTGCATACCGTGGCTGGGGAAACCGTGGATAACATCACACAAACTTTTCATTTTTCGGTAATGAAATAAATATTTTATTCGGAGTCGATCCTGAGGTACTTTTGCAGCCTGGAACTATACAATATTTGTACAATCCTCGGTTTCGACCCATTTAGACATAAAAACAATAATTAACGAAACTGCGAATCGATCCACATATCGTATGTATTAACACAGAATGGGAAGAGAGCGAGCGTGAGCGGAGTGCTCTATTATGACGTCAGGCAATGGTTGCTCAACGTTTTTCCGCGCTCTGTTTTCATTAATTTATTTCACACATTTCTCGTTGAAACAAAAAATTGATTTTTGGCATACTAACTAATTAAAGGGTAAACTTTTGAAATATGCAATAAAAAATTTTTACTGAATGGGCCTATTGTAATAGCAGTGTTTAAATTTTAAACATGTTGCTTTATGTTTATACTATTTTTATATAGGGTTGTTAAAAAGTTGTTTTTTATATGTTTTTTTGCCAATAATGTTGACTTCACCATATTCAATAATTATGCAAGCCTCTGCTTATCCTAAATTTTGTGAATTTTTTAAACTATTCGTTCATTTGAAGCCTAATTCTAGAAAAAAATTCAAATTTTTCTCTAGAACTAAGCTTCAAATGAGACATCTTTTGTCAGGTAATAAACGATGATCCAAAAAAAACACTAAAACAATAAATAATGTCAGTGCCGAGGTGTTTTTATTATTATAAGCTAACTTATTTGAAATATTACTTGACATTTTTTATATTTTTTCCGAAAATTTCATTTATATTCAAATTAAAGCGAATGTAATTCTTTTTATTGTCTAACTAAATGGTAAATTATTATTAATGACTAACATTATAAAATATAAAATAGATTTGAAATAATCTGACAATGAGTATATTTCTTTCCTTTCTGAATAGAACAAACATCCTTACAAGTACTTGAGGCAATATTTTTCATATACTAGAGGTTTTCGATAAATTTAAACTTCAAATTAACGATATACATTAATAATTTATTTTTCTGGAAATCATCCTATAGAACGTCTGATACACACACACAAACCGTTGCCTCATCTTCCCATAGGTTGGAAATCTGGGTATGTGTTAACGAAGGTCAGATAACGAACTACCACATAGAATATTTTATAGTACATTTTACTGTTGCTAGGTGCCTACTACAAGATTTCCTTCACTGGAAGTTATGAGAATGATGTGAAAGGAAAGTGGAATCAGACATGACGAATGACGATTCAATCGCAGTCGTCTTTATCGTTTGCAAAATTGCTTACACGCGTTCTAGATAGCTACACCGCACGTCTATCCTTCCTGACCAGGTAGAAGTGGTTGAGATGCGTTAAAAATTGCCGGTTTTTTTTTATCTACCAATGTTTTATGTATTTTTTTACAATATATAAGGCATAAACTGTAAAAGGTTTATATACAAGAAGTCTTGTCAAATATATATATACGCTGTTTTTAATATTTTTCTATTAATATGCCGTCAGGTTTAATGATTTTTTTTTTCATTTACAGGAGGGTCCTCATCGCAAGGAATCAGGGAAGAGGGGACGCAAGCCAGGCAGAAAATCTGCTGATAAAGTTGACATGAAAGCCAAATTAGGTGAGCTTCAAATTTTTAATATAATCACATCCAGTTTCTGTATTTTTAAAACATCCATCTCGTGTAGCTGCTATAGTAAGACCTCTATTTACGGACATTCAATAATTGATACAGTTTTGAATTGAATTTTCTTAATATTGCCATATGTTGAGACTGCCGTTTTATAAACAAGAAATACCACTTTTAGTAAGATAACAATAGAACAAGTATATCCATCTAGGAAGTGATAAAGCGTAACGCTAAACTAGACCAAGTTTCTTTAATTGTTTGCGTTGAAAGATCATGGAGAACATGTAAACATCAGAAAATGTACCTTTTCTGTTATGGACAGCAAATTTGTAATGATACTCAGTTGCATGTGTTAATAGTTTCCTAAAATCATTCTGCGATATAAGTGTTTTAAACGGGTGTTTGTACCGCGCTACTTCATGACGTCATTTAGTGCGATCGATAATCGAGAAGATAAAAAAACGGGACAAAACGGACCGATAGCATAAGTATAGTAAGTAACAATAATCTGATCATCTGATCATTTGCTTCGAAGCTCTCTCCATACTTTTTTTAGATTAGGCGTAAACTAGACTTCTTTGTCGCACTGAATAACGTCACAATGTGTTCTAAATAAAATGAAATATTCATGCATACCCTAGTATTTATAAAATTAATGTTATTGTTACTAGCAAACAACACAATTTAAGTGTGCAAAATGAAAGAGTTTGTAATTGATTCTGTAAGGTATGATCAAGGATATTCCCATATTACCTCTCTACTCGAAGAAAAGGCACTGGAGGCAGCTCAAAGTATGCAGCTGATTGACTTCAAAGCTTCCAATGGTTGGTTATTGTCAGATGCATAACATTGTTATTAAAACAGTGTATGCTGAAGCTACTTACAAAAACTTTCAAAACACTGACGAAAGCTAAGCTGCAGTTAATATTGAGGGACTAAAATCCAAAAGCTATTCTTAATATCGATGAAATAGACCTTTTTTCCGTGCACTTTCAAAACATTTGGATTAAGAAATGATAGGAGAAAATTCTGCAAACTCACGGTGCTCAAACAAGGAAGGAGATATGGAAAAGTAGTAAGTTATTTCTAAAAAGAAGAAGTTCCAGATGTTTTAAAGAAATGTATGTGGATAAATTACCAATAGATCGGGTCTCCAATATGACAATATGACTTTGGATATTATGTCAAGATGCTTAAAAAACCTTGACAGCAAAATGAAGATAGAAGAGAGAAAAATGGCAGTTATTTCTCTGTAGTGTAACTTCTCATCCGAATATTTCGTTAGAGAACGTGAAATTGATTTTCCTTCCCTTAAATACTACCCCATAATACCAACCTATAGACCAAGGCATCATTCAAAACTTAAAGTTGTTTATAGAAATATGCTTGTTAAAGGACTTTTAGCGTTGACGGACACGGAAGAATAACTGGAAATGGCAGAGAAAGCATTATAGTAGTCAATGCATTAATATGGATTTCAACGACTTGAACAAAATTATCGCCTGTGACGGTAAAAAATGTGGTTAATCTGTGTGACAGTGATTGTGCGAATACGATATAGAAGATGATATTACCAATAGCATTTTTATTTCCTTTGAATGTCACTAATTTAGATTTTAAAGACATACTGAATAATTTGATGTTTTAAAAAATGAAAATCCATATGTCTTGATTCTATTGATGAAATTGAAACTGAATCTGAAGAAGGTTTAAGTATGTACTTCAATAGCCTATAGTGGATTAAAACACCTTGACCACCTTTTCTTGAGTTCTAGTGATTTTTACGTTGCTAAGGCTATTTCTCTAGACCTATTTAAATGAGAATCAGAAATATTTAACAAAAAGTGAAAAAAGCTGAACAAATGGCAATTAAGATTATTGCAAATAAGCAGTAAATATCTGGTACCTCATCAGAATATTAATGTATTTTTTTCGAACAAAATTTGGCGTAACGTATCAAGATTCAATAATTCTTTTATAAAATGCCAAAATGAGTAATTAATATCCAGAACAATGAACCTAAGCTTTATCAAATGCTTACATTATATTGTGCAAAACATAATAAAATTGTTAAAAGATTCGCGATTCCATATAAATCATCCTTTGGTTATCTTAAATTCGCGAGAAAACAAGTGTCCTCCTACAGTGGCGTACCCGAACTTTGTCATTGGAGGAGGGGTTAAAACCTATACCTTAAACAAGTATATTCTACAAAAAAAAAACATCAAAAAAATAATACACATCTTCCAATGGAGCATTTCTTGATTTCTGACCCCCCAAAATCTTCCTGCGTACGTCACTCTCCCAACGATTTCAAACAATCTATAAAAATGTATGACACGATTATGAGGTAACATTGTGATACGAATGAAATAAATATTTTGAAGAAGCTAAAACTAACCGTCAAGTGCAAACAAAATTAGATAATAATATTTAAACAAAGCCAAATGAAAAATTAGAGATTTGGTATGGTATAATGTATAGCAAATGCTATATATCTTAGCTGATGCTATCTTTCAGATAGCATCAGGTAATTGATAAAGTTGGTGCAGTTAAAAACCGTATTTTTTATATAAAACAAAATACTGAAAGTTATGTAACATTAGTATTCAATCTGAAAGAAAAAAATCAAATATTAATCACCTGCATGTGCTTTTTTTCCTACAAAGGTTCATTATCTCTTAGGTTATTATTTATAAAAGTTGACAAAAAACTCAATAAAATATTCCAACACATCAACACTTTCCATGTAATGAGATGAATTATACATAATGTACCAAATTACATAAGCCAGATTATAGAACTCCTCATAAGAAAAAGGTTACCATGTTGGGGCTAGAAAAGCTTAGCTTCCAATATAATGTTGAACTAAAAAAATCCATTTAATTTTTTTATATGTTCAAAATGCCTAAATGTAAACAAGTTAAAAGTATTTCACTTCTTGTCCTATAAGACAAAGTGATAACTATGAACTAAACTAGGAGCTTAGCTAAACATTTTTTGGATTGAAATATTTTCACCTACTTAACATCGGAACTTCAAAAATTGGGATTTTTACACAAAAATTCACTTATTATTTGCTGCTCATAAAATATATTGTAATCAAATTTTGTCTTTGCCTCTCATCTAAACTACTAAAAAGTTTAATTCATTTGTACTTGAAAATGGCTAATTTTAAATAAAGGATGCAAGACAATTATTTTTTTTAAAATCGAAATTTTACCGGTCAAGAAAGATGAACAAAAATTGGCCCCTTCAGTTTTACCCGACCCTAATTATTCATAGTTGAAACTTTGTCTTTTAAAAAACAAAAGTTCGAAGGCATTTTAAATATATTAAAAATAAACCTTTTTAAGAATTCCATCTTCAATATCTTTGATCCACTTATTTCCCCACTGAACCAGTGTCTATAAGAACTTTTTTTTTCTTATTTCAAGTAATTCCATAACACGGTAACATTTAATTTATGAAGTTTGGTACACCCGTACATCCAAGTTATTTGATATTTTACATTAAAAATTCAAATGTACCTTTTTGTTTATTGACTATTAGACCAGGAAAGGAAACATTTTGAAATTTATTAATTACTAGGCGTGATTTTATTGTTGGAAAGTCTTGAGAATAATAATACAAGAGGCGCCTCATCTCGCGGGTCATGAAAAAAGTATAGCGTCATTGTTTTTTATCAACAAATAGGTAAAAAATTCGTCATTTTTCGTTCTACGCGTTATTGTAAAAAAACTATTAATCTTAGCAAAAAATGTTCAACAGACGATTTGATCTAGAGAAACTCATCTTTATAATGAGACTTCATAAGTTAAAATTGCTTTATAAACAAACAAATTTATTGCAAAATTAAAAGTATACTCTAATTAAAAAAATTTTATTTTTTTTTTTAAATTTAGTTGTATGTTAACAAATAAAAGGCACTTTTTTCCCTAATAAACAAATAAAATAACTTCGCGATTTTTAACTTTTGAAAGAAGTTATATACAACATTCGAAAGCTCGTAAAAAACCTACAAATTGAAAAAAAAATGTTTCTACGACCAATAAGGTCCGGAGTTAGCAATTTTTTTACAACTAAATTTATTTTTTTTTAACTAGAGGATACTTGGTGAAAATAAGCCCAAAAAGAATGTTTTTGTCATAACCCTGCCCCCAGAATAGTCATTTGAAAATGGGCCTTTTTGGCAAAAATGAAAAATGGAATTTTGCAAAAACTATTGACTGATCAAGCCCATCTTTTGCACATCCCTTAAGGATAAAAAACTCACATTTTGAGAAAGTTTTATATATGAGTTTTTCTAGAATCTAGATCAAATCGTCTGTTGAACATTTTTTGCTAAGATTAATAGTTTTTTTACAATAACGCGTAGAAAAATGACGAATTTTTAACCTATTTGTTGATAAAAAACAATAACTTTTTTCATGACCCACGAGATGAGACGCCTCTTGTATTATCATTCCGAAGACTTTCCAACAGTAAAACCACGCCTAGTAATTTTCACGATTTCTCGATGATTTTTCACCTTTATTTCTTGGTCTATATATAAATGTATATTTATTGGGAAATTCTAAAATGATATGTACTTTTGTTTGTTGCAGAACGCAGTCGTCAAAGTGCTAGAGAATGTAGAGCCCGTAAAAAATTACGGTATCAATATCTAGAAGAACTTGTAGCAGATAGGGAAAAGGCAGTGTTTGCCCTTAGGAAGGAACTTGAAAAGGTGAATATTTTGAAGACAGTTATGCAGTTTATTGTCTCTTAAATTTAAATTGCAGTTTTCTAATTTGTTCAAAGAACAAATACGGTTAACTTGAATATAAATATTGATGCTGCATAATGACCAAAGATTTAACAATTTGAGAAAAATTCAGAAAAAATAATAGGAAAAATTGAAAGAAACTCGAAATAGAAGTAGTCTTGAATAATAAATACTTGATATTTCAAAATATTATTTACACAATTTAACAAAATTTATATATTGGATCGGGATACTCTCAAACTCAAACTAGTTTAGGTCAAATACAAATTAACAAAAAGTAATATTTTATTTAAAACGGCAAGCAAAGAAAAAATCTTAATTATTTCAAGACAGATGGTCAACGTCCATATCTGAGTTTTCTGACTATACGTCTGATGCTTCTGAATCTTCTAATTCTAGAGCAACATTAAAATAATATTTAGATACTATTTTTCTCTAAATATATAATATTGTGACTAGAACCCTTTATAACCTTGGTTGTAACAAAAGTATAATTTTTTTAGTTATTTTTCAAATTTTTCTAGTTTTTTTCCACTCAATTTTCCTGAAGAGCTTTTATCTCTGATCTACTTAGAACTTTTCGTTAAGCCTATAAAATCGCTAATGCAATGGGTGTTATAAACTAATTTAATGTCCACCACTAATCGCATGTAAAAGTGCATACAAAAAATTGTTCATGTTAATCTTTCTTTTTTTTTAAGTATCACTTGTGGGCCAAAGAAATAGATGAAGGTAGGACGCCGGAAGAGATCCACGGGATTTTGGAAGACTTGAATCTGAAGCAGGAGCAGAAGTGATTTTTTTATTTTGTGATATTTTCTATATACACTAATTGGTTATGTGTTAAAAATTTACCAAAACTTTTAAAGTTTAAAATGTACTTTTGTGCTAGCGGGCGCTAACACATTTGTATTTATTGTTCTATTATTTTATGGTGAAATATATTTTATTAAATATGACACACCTTTTTTATTCCACAAACATAAAGTTAAACAGAATATCAAGCACTTGATTTTTAAATCAAATTCAATAGTAAAAGTCGCAAATCAATATTTTAGTATGGCAGTATCGAACTCACGTACAGTTGTAAAAATAATTATTTACTGTTGAATTAAATTTAACTTTTTTTAAACAGTTAAAAAACTATTAGGGTGGTAACTGTGAATTTATTTTCATTTACCAAAGCCTACTTATTTTTCATATTTTTTCAGTATCGAACTTATACAGGATGTTTTTAAATGAAGTAGCAAAAATGGTACCAGTGAATGTATATGAAAGTTGCACCCCTGAGCGATATATCCTCTTAAAGGAGGGGATTGAAATTCACATTTTATTTTTTTTCTTTAACGAGGAATGCTATAGACATGAAACTTGGTATGAGCATCCTACTCATAGACAACTTTTCAATATTTGTCCGATCATTAGCGTATTGTGAAAAGGAGTGAAACAGTCGACCCCATTGCAATATTTTATTAGAAATTTTTTATATGAAGCAAATTATTTATTTAAAAATATTTATTGGGAAAACCGATTTATTGCGCAACTTTTTTACCTCTTGTAATTTTTCGATAAAACCGATAGTTTTCTAGTAAAAAAATTAGATGCATCGTCGTTCACTAAAGGGTTTATTGCAAAAATTTGTAAAAATAAAGTAGGCGGATGGCATAACAAATAAATTGTTATTTCTGTCGACTAATAATTAATACCAATTGATTAATTTATTATCAGAATAATTATTGCAAATAATATAACAATGACAATTGACAAATATGTCAACATGCTCCAAGTGTTTTTCGAATCCAGAAAAAATAGTAACACTGCAGTAAGATTGTGCCACCAAAGATATCCAAACCGACCGATTCCTCATAGACAAAAATTGGCCTCGGTGGAAAGAAGACTTCGTGAAACTGGTAAAATTCGACCCAATCGTGAGGGTGCTGGAAGAAGGCGTAATATCCGAACTGTTGAAACTGTGGAAGCTGTACTGGAACATCTAGAACAAGGCTGTGGTACAAGCACAAGACAGGTGTCCAAGCCACTGCAAGTTTCTCACAGTCTTGTGTGGAATGAAACTGTGTGAATGTGAAAATCTTTTATACTCTTTTCACCATCAACCCGTACAAGAATTGAATGACCCTGATTTACCTAACCGCATGTATTTTTGTCAATGGTACATTAATATTTCCAGGCATGACTTAAATTTCCTAATAAATATACCTTTCATCAATGAAGCAAATTTTCCTAGAGTAGGTGCAATAAAACCTTCATAATGTTCATTCATGGTCGGAAGAAAATACTCATGAAATATTTGTTTCAAGATGTCAACATAATTTCAGTTTAAACGTTGGATGGGAATCGTAGGATATACTCTAGTATGTCCTTTTATTCTTCCACACAGGCTTGGAGCTGCCGAGTATCTTAGATTTTTGAATGAAAATGTTCCAACATTACTTGATGATGTACCACTCGCTACACGTCAGGTGATGTGGTATATGCACGATGGGGCACCTCCACATAGTACAGTTGCCGTTAGAGAATGGCTAAATTTAAATTACTCAAATCGCTGGATTGGTTGTGGTCGTGATGCCCCTGTTTGTTGGCCTGCATGTTCACCTGATCTAACGCCTATGGATTTCTTTATGTAGGGACACATAAAAAGAATTGTTTATGCCACTCCTGTTGCCTCCTTAAGAATATTTCAGGCAACAGATGTCATTTGCAATAACCAAGAACTGTTTGTGCGAGTGCTTTATAACTTCAACAGACGTATTAATTTAATTTTGCATTTCTTATTTTTTGTATTAAATTTTATTTCAGGTAAATAACTTTGCCTAATACATGTCCCATAGTCATAAGTTATCAAACATTTTTCATTAATTAATAGCAAATTATTCTTAATGTTATTATTAAATTACCACCTTATTGACAGAAAGTTTCAATTTATTAATATGATAAATAACAATTTATTTGATATGACATCCGCCTACTTTATTTTTACAAATTTTCTCAATTACCCCTTTAATGAACTAAAAGTAGTTTAGAAAACTATTGGTTTTATCAAAAAATTACAAGAGGTAAAAAAGTTAAATCAGTCTTCCCAATAAATATTTTTAAATAAATAAAACTTTTTTTTCTCTAATTTCAACACACTGTATATGGAAAATTAAGCAAACTACGAACAACATTCATATAGAATTTTATGCTTAAAACTATTCCATCCCTGTGAAGGAAAGCTCTTATTTCAGAAACACCCTCTATATTAGATTTCTTCCACTTCCTCTGAAATATCAAAAATATACAAAATACTTCCAAGTACAGGAAGAAACTATAAGAGGTAGGGGGGAGTAGGGGCTTTTGGGGAAACTGCTCACCGAATATTAAAGACAGAATTTCTTCAATTTCCCCGTAATTGTTTCAAATTCCAATTGTAATCTTTTGAAAAGAAAAAATTACATCAGAATGATTCACAAATTTTTTTGTAAAATTAAAAATTTTCCTTATTTGGTGAAAATTTTATGGTAATTATTAATTTTGTAAATAATCATGCTTTATTAAATATTTAGCGGAAACTGACAATAAAGAGCTTAGATTTTTGCAAACTGTTAAATTTTTGTAAATCTACCTGAATAAACTTGAAACATCAGTTAACTAAATTTTGTATGAACGCTTTTAAGAACTGTTATGAAAAATATTCGAAAACGATGTAACAAATGCATGGAATAAAACATAATTTTGAGGAAGATTTAAAAAATTTTAGATTTAGGTTGCAATTTTTGGTTTTGTGGTTTATGTCGTTATTAAATTAGTATACATTTTATTTTCTTAACAAATGGTATTGTGGTAAACAAGACTATATATCAGCTGGCATTGAATTACACCCCAATATCTAGTAAATCCCTAAAATCACTCGTCAGGGAATTACCAGACATAAACTGAATTCAAACATATTAATTCTCGTCGGTATGCCAAAAGTGAGCTGACCAATGAATGGTTTAGCTATTGGAATGTTTGTCTGCAGACATATTTTGGGTATAGGTGAGATATAAGCTACTTTCCAATTGCCAAAGAACTGCTCTTGTAGTGTTCTTCTACTGTTCTACTCTTTAAATATCCCTGGCAATTGGAAAGTAGCTTATATCTCACCAATACTCAAAATATGTATTTAAATTATTTTCAAGTATTTCTTTTGTGAGCTAAATGTCAAAACCTAATATATATTTCAATTATTAAAGAACAATGACACAAAATACTGAAGTGCTTCGAAGTAGGTACATTTTTTGTCAAGTTGATAATAACTATAATCTTCATATATGAAATAAGAAATTAAAATAAAGATCGACAACCCTGAGGTCTCAAAATTTTAAAATTATTGTGAAGTTTGAAAAATGGACTGTTAGTATGGAAATACAAATAGGTACCTACCTATAATTAGTCAATTTTTAAAAATATATATATTTTGCAAATATTTATGCATTCCTCAATATCGAAATCTCAAATTTTTTTCTCTATGTGGACTTAGAAATCTTCTTAAAATGGTTTGCGCTTCATCACCAAAATGCTATTTTAATTTTCACCAGTCGCTACTAGGTGCATATTCCTTCAAATTTAAATATTAACGCTCAAAATCAGAAAATTATATCAACGATTTCTGTATTATATTGCCCCGCAACACACAATACAGCGTAACCATGCGACATTACGTTGTTGGTTGCCAACCGAAAAACAATTGAGGAACAAAACCTTGACTTTTTGTAACCGCGACAGGAAATATGTCAAAATAAGAACCAGTGACGAGCGACCGAAGAATAACATACACGCAGCTACCAGTTATGAGACTCGGTTGTGCTAAGCAATTAATTCTCAGTAACTTTAATTAAAACCATTCCTGCCTCACTTGAACCTTGCGGTAAGTTGATTTTTGTAATAAACTTTAATTAGTTTTAACCAAGACTTCGTCCAAGTGATATGAAGTAAGTTTTTTGTTTTTATTTACAGATTTCTAATAACCCTCTTACCTGTTGTGCCACTTGTTGCAAGCTACTAACAAAATTAAACACTTCCTGTGCTGGTGTCATTGATCAACATGACACACAATTTTGAATTGAAAAATAATGTATAAACCTCCCCAAAACTCCAACAGAGTGAAATCTATAAGGAATAAATTTGAAAACATAGAAAATAAAACCAAGTCTCCAGAGAGGAACGTCACAAAAAATGGACATAGGAATAACTTAAATAATTCGCCTAAAAAGACTGAGAAGCTCTCTGAAAACACGGATCCCAGTGGAAAACATGCTTTACAACGACAGTACAGTGATCCTCTGAAGAGGAATATTAAAAGGACTCCAGCTTTTAGGGTGGACAAAAACATGGAGAAAAACAATGGTTTCCAAAGAAATTGCTTTAACCGAAATACTCTATTCGAAAGTAAAGTCAAACAATTTAGTGCCGTAAAATCCAACTGTGATAATAACAGCAATATAATGAACAGTAAAAAGAGTGATTTAAATAAAAATAGTAACTTAAAATCTGTGGCTAAATGTTCAAGGAATGTAAATTCAAAACCTGCACCGATATTATACAAATCTAAAAGCTCGCACGAATTTCAATATATTCGTAGTAAATTTGACCGTGGCATTACAAACAATATAAATAAAAATAGTAACAATTTTAAAGACAATGATGACAGTGAAAGCAACTTTGCTTCAAATGAATGTTTAAAGGGAATCGACTTATCTTTGCTTTACACGGAACCAGTTCCTAAGTCATTACGATCTAAGAATATTAACGAAAAAGTAATAAACAGTGAAAAATCCGACGATGTCTATACAACAAACACTTTAAAACTCAGTGATAAAACCCCATTGACTGAAACCGTAGATGAAATCTTAAAATCGCCCATTGACGAACCCATTACGGATAGCTTAACAGATACTCTAAAAACAGCATTGAAGAAACCTCTTCCCAGTGGTCCAGCTCCTAAGAAGCCTCCAAGAACTTTCCAGCATTCGAACAGCGAGGATGGTACAAACAATATAGAAAAAAATATTTCATTCCTGCATCTTACCAAAGAAGTCGAACAAAAATTAAACATTAAACCGAAACATACACCTAGAAAAGCCGATCCAAAATATATGCTGAATAAACTGGAAAACGCTCTGAGAAACAATAGACTTCGAGCAAAGAGACAGGCTAAAATCGACATATCGACCACATCCGGAGAAGACAGTGACGACAGCCTCTTGTTTAGGAGCAAAACGGATAATAAACCAAATCGTACCTTACCCCGATTGCCAAGTCACACAAACGACCTCGGCGATAACAGTGCATTTAACCTTAACTGCTTGAACGGACTAGGCTGTGCTAACTCCAATTACGAAAAGATTAAAGAACCAAACTCGTCTTTTTTTGTTGGCAGAGCAGATGAGGAACCGGTGTACGCGGAACCGTACCATTACAGGAAGGACTCCTCGGGTCCTGTTAGGAAGCGGGAAGGATCAGAAACTAGCAGAGATTCTAGGAATAGTCTGTATTATATGGTAAGCCTACCTTATTAAGTCTTCATAGTTAGAGTCCTTTTTTTTTAATGGTTTCATACTTTCTTAATGTCCATTGCCGTGACAACTTAATGTTTCTGAAAGCTGTAAACAAAATTTATTTGCGAATTTGCAATACTGATAGTCTCCATATTGATTTAGTAGTCTTTTACTAAAACAACAATTCCAGTTTTTAATTTACCACTTTATATTCTTTTATTGCTAATAAATTTTTTAAAACTGACTGAAGACAATTTCTATTGAGCTGTATATTCAAAGGAACTTAGCTATTTACTTATAAATAATATTTATTTTATATCATAAATCGAATTATCAAACTGAAAACATGATAAGCGTTAAAAAAATAAAATAAACATCTTATCTTTAATATTGTGAGAACACCTTATAATAATAACTAAGCCTAAGCATTCTGACTGATTATATTTTCTTTTTTAATACCTATAGAATATTTGAATAAGCTTTAAATGAGTATAGAACAAAGTATTTGTAAAATATTATTAAAATATGTGAATTCCACTATTTTAATTGGTATTGTGAATCATGTTTATATTTTTAGTAACAGATAAATATTTTATGCACAATTGAAACTGTATTAAAGCTGGTTCACTACCACTTTTTGGTGCCAATTTTTGGAAAATTGTAATTTTTGTCATCCAAATTTTAATAATCCTGGTTGCTTCTAATCTTCAATCAAAATTTTCCAATTATTCTGAAAAGGGGTCATTTCCAAGGACATTTAAATAAAGGGGACTATGCATGTCACAGTCTATCTCATATGTTGGGTGAAGCTAGACAAGGGGAAAGCAGAGGGCTTTATTTTCATCCAACTGATGCGCGCGATTACATCTCCAATGTCGTACATTTTGAATGGGTCAAAATAAAATATTTTATAGTCCCAAGTCAATATATTTCAACAGCTACTCAGTATTTTTATAATAAATATATATAATATTTTTATAACTTCTTGGAATCCCAATAACTGTAACCATTTCTTTCTTGTTGCACCATCCCCAAGCATCCTAAAAACGTTCACATTTCACTTTTAGAATACTGAGGCAAATTTTCAGTGAGACATAAAAATATATTCCCAAAGGAGAACATCAAATGGTTGAATGAATGCAACTTTCAGTTGATTGCATCTTCGGTATTTTTATGTATAAGTGAACCACCACCATATTTTTGCTGTTGTATTTATTCAGTTTTTATTAAAAGGTTTTTGTCGTAGAGGAAAATGAAAATGATGAATGATTAAAATTTGTAATGTTGGGTATAAGGGATAACATTGAAATACCTATAAATATATTAAATATAAATAATGTCTGTAACTTATTTGTGGTGCAACATTTTCCTTTGATTTTAATGGCCAAACGTGGTTCATATTATTGTTTTCTTACTATTTCAGCAAAAATTTTAAAAAAATACCAAGTCAGTTTTATAAAATTTTACCGTTATTCAAATAAAAGTTACCCACACGCACGACAATGGCCACAGTTGCGTATACATTCCAAAGTCACCTTCAAGCACGCTTACCTGTGGAAGGATAGCTGATGTGGATGTTTATAATCCAATTTCTTACAAATTCTGCACTGTCTAACCATATTCACACCTTAAAAGTTTATCCAAAATACATGTATAAACACTAATCACGTTTCACTTACTAAAATCACAACTATTTTCTAACAAGAGACCAACCACGGCAGAACGAACGAGAAACACGCTACAAATTATTGCGTAGCCAAGTCTTCAAACATGGCAAATATGAAAAATGAAAAATAGCTTAATATGTACAGAATTTAACAATATTGTATGTATAACTTAATAATACTATCCTATAATAATAATTTTCACAATTGTGATGAAAATTGCAATAAAAATATTAAGTACATTTCCAGTATAATTATACAGCTGACAACAATGATACAATTAGACTGCGAATAGACCAGGCTTCATCTAGAAATGTAAATAAATAAGCCCTTTATTTAAATGTCCTTGGTCATTTCTAATTTGACTCCATTCTATCATGATTTCGATCTTGGATCCTTGGCATAGGATCCTTGGATTATGTTTAACAAAATTGGATGCACTTGATTTTGTCATCTTTGGAGAAATATGCGCGCATCTTTGCACAAATCAATTCCTTTCTATTTAATAAAACTAGACGTCTTATTTTGATTGATGCAACAATATTTGTTGTCTTTGCCAATATCTACAAGAAATCAGGTTAAAAAGTAGACGAGGTCTTTAACATTCAATGCTGATGTAAAAGTATCTGCTGTTTTATGCATAGTAGGATGAATTATGCACGGCACATGTTGTTGCATGTGACGAGGAAGGAATTTGATCCAATTCCTTACCATTCCAAACAGATGTTCGAATATAAACCAAATATTCTGTACAGTAAATATAGCAGACCTTCAAAAAGAAAGGAAGAAACTGACGCACGTAGATTATTTTCTTCCAAGTGTGCTACAAAAATGGTCAAGACTGAAATATTCTGTATAATTTTTTGTCTTCCAAATTGACATTTGGGTCCAAAAATTTTGAATAATTTTGGATATTTAAATTAATAAATACAATATTCCTTGTCAGTATTTTGCTTCGCTTGTTAAGTTAACATTTGTTTCTGAATATTTTGTATATTCATTATTTGACTATTGTTATACTATTTATCCTCGAGCCAAGTAAGAGCTTCTCAACAGGATGTTGGTGGATGAATGCCCTTTGATTAATAGGTAATTTTTTTAATCTTACGCTGTGCTCGTATCATTTTCATGTCCCCATTTACACCAGCATAGTTATTACTATTACTTGCTGTAATGAGAATACATGCGGTTACGATAATTGTTAACTGTAAATTATTTTCACTAGCATATATGGATAACAGAGACTATTGTTGTGAATTAATTACTATGTTTTATACGCCATGAGAAAGTCTATGAAAATAGGCATAAAAATACTAAAATTAATGTAACATTCGATAATTAATTATCGGTAAATGTTTTTAATTGTTAATTTTAACGGTAAAAGTTTAAAAGTTAAATTAGATGATGTTGTGAAAGGGTCGGGTCGTCTTTCAAAATAAATGTAATATTTCGGTAAACTTTTCGTCATTGATTTCGACTTTTTATGTCACAGTTTTGATTAACTTTGTAAAGTTTCATTCATAGGCCAGGAAATATAGAGTTGGACGCGACTTCTTGTTTCGGCAAGCTGAATTTATCAGAATAGATGCTAAAGATTATGTACTAGTGATGTAACGAATGCCAGTTTTTAAGCATTCGCGAATGCGAACATCTGTTGTTGACATTCGCGAATGCGAATACGAATATTCAGTTTTTAAATCTGCCGCCGTTTATCTATGATTCAAAATATGCCGCGCGCAACGCACATAATATTTTCGGTGACAGCTGCGCTAGAGGCTAAAGAAATTAGCGTTGTTAAGGTGGCCATATTCCCGGCCGAGAAATAGTGAAATATCTGGCGTTTTTAGGTACTGAAATCTTTAAAAGTAAAACGTGTAGAACAAAAGTAAGCACAAAAATGAAATCCTTGACGTTTTGTTTATTCATTGTTACCATTTAAATTTACTCAAATAAAATAATAACTAAAAAAAAAGCGTTTGTAAAACATGCGTTTGCTGTTATTCTAACCCCACATTTTAAGAATTATTTTCACGTACTTATAAATAAAAGTAAACAATTTTATATGTAGGACTAAGCAAGTAAATGTTATAAGAATATTTATATGTGGAATTATATATAAAAAAGTTAGTATTTTCGTAGATTTCAGTACCTAAAACCTTGATGGTTTGTTCGTTTTTTGCACCTGTTTAATCGTTTTACTGCGGCGTCTTTGAAAATACCCAGATGGCATGACATAACATTCCTATTATTTGATAAGCTTTAGATTATTCAGTTATTAAATGTTTGAAATTATTTGTCTTTGCGGAAAACACTATTTAAAGAATATGGGGCCCTTAAGTGGGTAGACCGGTATTTTTGTATGATTGGAATTTTGTTTTGTTTTCGCTACCGGCTCAGATGAGTTTGTGAATTGTGAGGTTAGACTGTTAGGTATTTCTTAACTTTTTTGATTAATTTTTCTAATATTGTTTTCATATTCTGTATTTTTCTTTCACGTTCATATTTGCAAAATATTCAAAGATATTTGCGAATGCGAATATCATAAATCGTTACATCACTATTATGTACAATAACATATTAGTTTCCACAGTCATAAGAATGGGGGGAAGATTGTTTACAGGGTGGTTAATTGTATATTTTTACGTAAATTCACGTTTTTCGCTTATAACTTTTTTCCGTTCATTTCCACGAGAAAACAGTAAAGTATTTTTTTTCGTCTTCAAAAGACCTATAAAAATAGCCCTCGAGCGTCAAAAAATATTGATTAGATCAAAAGTTATAAACAGAAGTTTATTTATGACTTGAATTAAACGTTTAAAAAATGCGTTATTATTACCAGAACGTTTTGGCATCGCATCCTCTCATTCCTTATCACTGTCTAATAACTCAACTCGCACGAAATCTGGAATCGGTAAGTTGATTAGTTTACAAGTGTTTAGTTTATGACCTTATAAACAAATTAACTAATTATTAGTCTGGACGATCCCAAGCATCTTCCACAATCGCATTTTTTCATGGTAGATTTCATAGTAATACATTGAAATCTATAATATTTTTTTAATTTCAAATTTGCAACCTAGAAATTTTTTTAAATTTTTTAGCCTTAGTTGCAAAATGAAATATACGTCGTACGAGCGTGATATAGTTATATATTATTACATATTCGGAAAGCTTATGAAAATTATTAAATTAAAAAAATCAACGTTGAAAAACAACGGAGTTACAGACTGTCAAATATATTATTTTCAAGCGAATTTCGCTTTTTTAACGGCAGGACTATGAATAATATCGTCATTTTCTTCGGACTCGCTGTCGTTCGCTTCCCCCACTCTTCCGCCGCGCCACGGCTCGCCGAAAATCAAGCGACCCACTGACTTTTGACAATATTTATTTTACACTTAACATATTTCCACAAATAAAACATTTTTAACTGGGAAAGTACTCGGGTTGTCGGTTATGACAGTATTTTTTTTTTGCCGCTACCAACCAAATTTGTTTAAACAATAGACCGTCAACTTTGACAGTCTGTAATTTCGTTGTGGATGTGATGCCAAAACGTTATGGTAATAATAACGCAGTTTATGAATGTTTAATTCAAAAGTCATAAATAAATTTCTTCTGTTTATAACTTTTGATCTAATTAATATTTATCACACTCGAGGGCAAGTTTTGTAGGTCTTTTGAAGACGAAAAAAAGGTACTTTACTGTTTTCTCGTGGAAATGAACGGAAAAAAGTTATAAGCGAAAAACGTGAATTTACGTAAAAATTATACAATTAACCAGCCTGTAAACAATCTTCCCCCAATTTTTATGACTGGAAACTAATATGTTGTTGTACATAACAGCTCTGTTCGCGGAGCCTGACAAATTAGTCCGAGATCAGTCAGTAGCAATCGTTTAGCTACTTCTTTTATGCTATGCTTGTAGCAAATAACACAGAAAGTAGCTGGACGACTGCTTCTGACTGATCCCGGACTAATTTGACAGGCTCCGCGAACAGAGCTAATATTTAGCATCTATAGTGATAAATTCAGCTTGCAGAAACAAAAAGTTGCGAAATGGTCATTTCCCAGCTCTTTATCCTGGCCTATTCATTCGAAATTTCATTTATGGTAAACTAGGACCTTATCTCTTCCTCTAATATTAGGCACCTGGCCAAATATCTGGAAATCCGTTTATATTATTAAATTCTTATTCGCACATTTTTATCAGCTTGTTTACACTGAAAAGCAGCATTACATATGTGTATATCCACACCACCACGAACGCTTTTATCACCTAGAAAGGGAAATGCCCTATCTAATCGAATGAACCGATGAGAGTTATTTCAAAGAAAATATCAGTTTAATTTTACATTGTTCCAGAGCACGCCCGTGTTAGGTGAGGGAGAAAAAGTCGGAAACATGAACGGTTCTTGCGGCAGACAGGTAAGAGAACCATGAAATTTTTCTTTATTTCTTTGGCGGCGCGGGTACGTGAGACAGCGGCTCCTTCTGGGGTCCGATCGCATCGACCATCAACGATTGCTACGTGCAGCTGCCGCGGTCCCCAGGTTTTTGTGTAACTCTCGTCGAAACTCGGCGCTGTCTACGTTTCATTTATTATCTTTCGTGGCTTTAAGACCCATTTAAATCAAAGTATGCCTTGAAATCCGAATTGCCTGTGCGTTTTTCTTTTATTTTTACGAGGAAAATAAAGTGGGAACTATTCAAATTTAATAAAATTGCATTTCTTCTAAAATATATCTGAAAGCATTTGACAGAATTACGAAACTTAGGCGAATGATTTATCCAATCAACTATAAAAATCCCCTGAATTCGGATTTAAGTACAAATACCAGTGGCGGAGATATCAAGAATTACTTTCACTAAACAAAGTAATATATTTTAATTTCATTTTATTCGAAAAACGAGCCATTTTCGATATATTATAGTCTGTTTGGAAATGAAAGAGAGTAATAAAACCCCGAGATAAGAACCGGCCATGGGCGTGGTAATATTTCGTTCCAAGTAATTACCGGGTAACACTAATGCTAACAGGTAATGGGTGTACATTAGTATGGATACGTCATAGGGCAGGAGCCAGTGTATTGTGACAGATCAATCCAGTCTTAGAGCTGAATATACGAAGACGTGCTAGTGCAGTAGAGTAAAATTCGACTTGTGTTTAGTGACTATTGTGCCAGTGGATATAATATTGTTTGGGTAAAATGTCGAGCTTATCAGATTACGTACCTGCTAAACGCGTGAAAAGATGTGCGCTGTCTCAGAATGAGAAGATTATTATATTAAATGTATTTAATGCATTGAAACACNTGTACAAAAAGAAGAGGAGAAAATGTGGGAACTCGATAATTTAATTGACGTTACTGTGGAACCTATCGTTATCAATCTAGGAGACGAAGATAATTCATCAGAATATTCAGAGGATGAATTTTAATATACCTACTTTTTTATTTTCTTTATTGTACATTTATACAACACTACATTTACTCACCATAATTTGAATTTTCAAAATACATATATTTTTGTGTGGAATAAAAGTCTATTCATTAAATTTAAATAAATATTTTGATAATAATATTGAATAATTTTATTTGAATTACTAAAAACCCTCTTAACCCGGTTATGATGCTTAAAGTAGCCTCATGTTATGAAATGCTGTTTTTATATTGTTTACTTATAAGAGAAATGGACCGAGAAATTGAAGCGGCATAGACAGAGACGGATTGTCGGGGATTCAATTTTAGCTACCTGCTACAATTTAGTACAACCCGGTCACACAAAGTTTTTTTAAAAGTACACCTCATCTATACCGATAATACATAATATAAAAATATTGAATATAAGCACCAGTACTACATTTATTTACGATTTGCATACATAATACGCTTTTATTACTCTCTTTCATTTCTAAACAGACTATAGGTACTTCTTTTAACGTTAACGTTACCAATAACTTCATTAAACGTAAAATAAGTTTAGAACTGCTCGTTTCGCAAAAATAATTCATATGATTTTGTTTTAATATTACGATTTTAAATTCAATGTAATCATGAAGAATCCCAGAAACTAATCTTTTTTTTTCGGGCCATACCATACCCTTTGCTACTTCTTACAAAATTCTAATTTCAAGGAATTTCCGTTTCTATTTGTTTTCCAAAAGAATCTACAATCCTTCAAATTAATTTTATTTGATATAACGTATCACATAAAACTAGAAATAACTCTTTCTGAACGATGTTGATGTTAATATACAAAAAATAATAACAAATAAATATAAATTAAACATCGAAAATCCATGTGAATAAGTATTGTGAGAGCACAAACAAATAAAACAATATTTGAGATGTTTGAAAGTTTGCAGTGGATTTTGAATATGTAACTTTCAGTTTTCTATTACATATTTTCTTTTTAACAATATTTGTATGTCTTTTTGTGTTTGATTAATGTTTATTATTAATTTTATATATATATTTATATAAGTATCAGTTTTATTCAGATTTAGCATTTCTTTGTCTTAACGTCCGTCCTAACCGATTGAAAAAAATGTATGCGTATTAAAATAAAAGAGAAAGGTCTTATCTCAGTAAATTCTATACAATCATATGCTACCGGTTTTGTGAATAACAAATTATTCACATATTCAGGCTAGAATTTTTACTTAAAAATATTTCTTATCAATAGCCATCACGTAATAGTAATAATAATAATAATAGTGTAATTGTCAAATATTTAAAGTGTAAATATGTCTAACTAACTTAATGTTTTATTAAATTTTTTATAGGCGAGTTCACAAAGCACATTGGCGACAATATACTAAAATTATTCAAGTGATATAATTTATCATTTAAGTCTCATATATTGCTTTATTGCGACCATTTGAATACATTTTAATGTGTTTACGAGATTTGTGGTACATTTATAAAAAAATTATTGAAATACTGCCCAGGGTTCTTCGCGTTAAGTGGCCTATTAAACGTTTCAGAGGTACCAAAGACAATATGACTTTGAAATTTTGTTTACGGGGGTTATCAGATATGTTCTCTTCAATGAAAATAATGTCATCATTTACTAGTACTGCTTTGTAAGTACTAAACGCAGGTATATCAAACTTTTTGAAGTTACCATAACTCATTCAATCTTGAAAAATTGTATGTTTATTTAAAGTTCATTGTTTAGTTTTACCTGAGGATTGTCTCCTTACACTCTGTACACTTAATAGTGAGACACTTTGTATAAAATATAGTACACAGTTAACTTGATAAAGAAATGATTCAAGATCCAAGTCAGATGCAATATTAGCGGTAATAAAACGACCTATCATTATGGGAAATACCATAACCGTTTTGTTGTCTGTGCTTCTACCACAAGTTGGTGTTTTGTAATCATAAGGGAATAAATAAACGATTGTAGATATCATTTTAACTTTAGAATATAGACCAGTGCTTAAGCCTTCAAAAATGGTAAAAAGTGAAAAAAAAATATAGTAGGATGAAACCCATTGGAAAAGGAAGAGAATATAACAGAAATGAAAAGAAAAATAATTTACGGGCGATCTGAGATCGGGAAGGGGAAGGGGGTGAGTTTTTAAGGGTAAAAAACGGTTTCCCTTGATTTCCGGAAAAACTACAAGTCTTATGGAAAAAAGTTAAATGGCAAAGTTGTAGGTAATAAAAAGATCTACAACTTTTGTATTTACACTTTTTTCACATAACCTCAAAATTTATGTGAAAAATTCAAATAACCAAGTTTTTGGTTTTTTATTTTTATTTCTTACAAAAAAATTTTTTTTTTCACGAAATTTGGTGAAAACTTACCTATTTATGTCCCAAACACGCTGTAATTTTTTTGATTTGAAATATTTATTTTTTCACCTTATTTTTACTTAATATCGAAAAAGCACCCTAATTTTCAATCGAAAATTCTCACGTCAAAATATCTGCTTTTTTAAAAACGTCGGTGGGCTTTTTCTTCGTTGAAATCTCTACTTTCTGATGGTGTAAAAAAAATATACATTACTATGGTAAGTTTTCTCAGGAAATGCAAAGAAACGAAAGAAGATTCTACAACTTTCTCAAAATATTGTAGATGTCTTATTAAATATTAACTTTATTAACTTATTTGGTTGTTAATTATAATAGTATATTTCGACTTGTAATTTTTTTGTTTATCAATGTAACATGGAATCTTACGTTTTTCGAGTAATTAAAGTGTAAATTTTAATAAATAGCTCAAAATTGTACATAATGATTAGAAAAAAATTTTCGGATTCTAGTTCGTTTCTTTGCATTTCCTGAGAAAACTTACCATAGTAATGTATATATTTTTTTACACCATCAGAAAGTAGAGATTTCAACGAAGAAAAAGCCCACCGACGTTTTTAAAAAAGCAGATATTTTGACGTGAGAATTTTCGATTGAAAATTAGGGTGCTTTTTCGATATTAAGTAAAAATAAGGTGAAAAAATAAATATTTCAAATCAAAAAAATTACAGCGTGTTTGGGACATAAATAGGTAAGTTTTCACCAAATTTCGTGAAAAAAAAAATTTGTTTGTAAAAGATAAAAATAAAAAACCAAAAACTTGGTTATTTGAATTTTTCACATAAATTTTGAGGTTATGTGAAAAAAGTGTAAATACAAAAGTTGTAGATCTTTTTATTACCTACAACTTTGCCATTTAACTTTTTTCCATAAGACTTGTAGTTTTTCTGGAAATCAAGGGAAACCGTTTTTTACCCTTAAAAACTCACCCCCTACCCCTTCCCGACCTCAGATCGCCCGTAAATTATTTTTCCTTTCATTTCTGTTATATTCTCTTTCTTTTCCAATGGGTTTCATCCTACTATAATTTTTTTTGGTTTCAAAATTTATCGACCCTGGTCTAATAGTGTTTTTCAACGTTTTAAACAAATGTTTCCGAAAAAGATATATTTGGATATAGGTTCATATGTAATTTTTTATGCTATAAAATAAAAATTATAGGAAATTTACTGCATTTTCCTCATAATGTCATATTTGTAACAGACAATAAAGGTTATACTTCACTAGATAGGTACAGTTGGTTTAGTTTCAAAGCCGTATCTAAAATTAATCATATGTTAATTCAACTTGAACACCTCGAAAATCAGGATTTTGACCTATGTTTAAGAATTTCAGGAAATTTTGTTCATACTTTTGCATATTTATATTTTTTAAATTTGCAAAATTTCTATCTTTTATGCAAGAATTAAGTTTTAATTATTTATTGGAAAAAGTCTAATTGTAATAAAAAGCTAAATCAAGCTCAGTCTTCTTAATCTATTAACAAATTTGAGAATAAGGTTACATTGTTATACCTGGAATAATAATAATTTAGTATAAGTTCTAAGTGACGGTACGTTGAATCTGTTTTCTACAAATGTCATTGAAATTACTATGTATAGC